GCCCTGCTCGGCCTGGCGCCCAGCGCTCCCAGCTGCCCGCACGGTGAGGCGGGCGGCGAGGAGGCACCTCGGGCGGGATGGGGGCCGGGCCCCGCCGAGGGGAGGAGCGGGCCTGGCCGGGGGCTTTGAGGGGCCTGACCCAGGTGGCCGCAGTTGCCAGCGGGTGGGGGGCTCGACACCTCCCTGAGCGTCTCTGTTGCTCGTCTTTAGCTGCTTTCTCGGCTCCTCTGCCAGAGGTTGTGTCTTGCAGCAGCCTTTGTTAATGTTTCATTCTGGAAGCCTGACACTTGCAGTGGAGGCATTAAAACAGATCTGTTGGTGGCCCGTGTGTCATCGTATAATTACGTTTCTCCTTTAGGTCCTGCTCTTCTGTTTGTAAAGACCAGCCAAGGAAAAGAGGAAGGACGAAGATTTTATGCTTGTTCAGCTTGTAGGGATAGAAGAGATTGTAACTTTTTCCAGTGGGAAGATGAGAAGGTAAGGGAGCACTACTTAGGACTATAGTAAATATTGGGGATTTTTTTTTTTTTTCTATTTAATAGAAAATTGGGAGAAAAAAAGTATGTTCTGGAAATCTGCAGCAGTTGATGTTTGGTAAACATTCATAGTTTATGTTTAGCAGAGCACTTATTTCTGTCAGGAGAACCTCTTTCAAGTGTAACTTTCAAGGAAGGCTGTGTACATTTGGAGCAAAACTGGCATTTGTTACTGTATTGACAAAACATGAAGGTATTTAAGTTAAGGAGCTTGCCATACTATGCAGTGTTGAACAAAATAGGGTAGTTCTGATCCTGAGACGTCTTCATTTTCTATGATTAAGACAAAATCTGGTGGATACAGGCAAACTGGGATATAGAGAATAGTGAGGTGGTGGGGATCAGCATGATGCTCAGTAGTCTCAGAACATCTGCAGCAATTTCTTGTCTTCTAAAGAACTTTTGTCAGATAATTGCAGGGTAACAAAACTGGGATTGATATATTCATGGAGAGTTTGCTGCAGTTTTTGTCCAGTACATCTTGTGTTACTTTTTCTGTTTCCTAAATTAGTATCTTATGCTGTGGTCATTGTCTTCAGCAGGCTGGCAGGCTGGAATTTAATCGGGTTCATAAGCAGTTCATTGCTGTGCTTGTTACTACTAAAATTCGTATAAAGAGAAAATGAGGTGGTTAATCACTCGTCTATGTAGATTTAAATGTTATTCCTAATGAAACTTGATTGTTACTTGTATCATGGTGTCTTTTGTTCTATTGAATTTTACTATGTCCCCCTTTAAACAAATCAGTTCCATAAGTTTTGAGCAAATATCTTGAAACGCTGTTAACTGTGAAACTGTAGGTATGTTTTGTGGGAGCAGAGTAGAAGACTGAGAGAAGAGCTGTCACGCTTTTAAAATAGCCACACTTCAAAGACTTGGGCAACATTTCTACTGTCATCAGTTGTTCAGGATCAGTTCATAGTTCCTCAGAGGGAATGCAACTGCTGGCATGCATTAATGGAAATTATACCTCTTCTATCCTCATCCTAATCATCTTTTGAGATTTTCCCAGATGTGGTAGAAGAATGAAATGCTTGTACTTATTTTTTGCACAGTTTAAATTCACAGTGAGAGACCCGTGTTGTTTTGCAGCATGCCTCTGTACTGCAGTCATGCTTGTTCTTCTGAAACAACAATTCAAAGAATGTGGTAATTTTTCTATGCAGAGAACATGAGACCTTCGATCACCCTTTTTGTTTAATATTGCATGTAATGTGCAATACAGAGTGATATCTGTTCATTTTGTAACTTTTTATATACTTATTTTTTACAGGTGTCAGAAGCTAGGCTTGCCGCACGTGAAGAATATAATAGAAATCATCAGCCCTCTTTTACACACAGACAGAATGTGGAAAGGTATTGTTATGTATATTTTATTGGGTAAAAATCAAGTAATAATGAGCTTAGGAAGGTAGAGATAATATTTTAGGATTCTTTAAAATTATAAAAACATGTCAGAGGGATTTGGAAGAATAAGAACTCGTTGGCTGCAATGGGTAAATAGCACGAAACATCTAATTAGAGCATGATAGCATAGTATTTGCAACCAGGAGCTGTTTGTTAGGGGTTTTTTTTGGTATATATAGTTCTTCTTACATTAGTGCTTGTGATGTACTAACAACAGGACAGTAGAAGTTTAAGTTCAAAAAATTATTCCTGACTTTAGTATGCAAAAGTAACAGGCTTTGTGAAAAGAAGCAAAAGTAATATGGTAACAAACAACATCCGTTTTGTGGATAAACATACAGGATTGCTTGCTGGTAGTTGATATGGAGTCTTTACTTTTAGTCCTGTTAGTTTATGGGGATTCTCAGTATATTTGGCCAGAATATTATATGGTTTTCAGTGTCCTTTAAATATTTTTTCCCTGAATATTACTTAATTCACATGTAGATAGTGGGGTTTTGCAAGTGCAGCTTAAACTACATTGTCTGTTTAAATGTTTGAACTCTTAAAATAATGAAACGCCCTTCATAGGTCCCCTTCGTGTCTTTTGTAGAGGCTTTGTCAAAGTTTGTTCCCTATTGTCTTTTGTATTTAAAGGTATGAGAATTTTGTTCTGTTGCCATTATCAAAGAGGAGGTTTTGCCAGGAATGCCAGCAATTGCTATTGCCAGCTGAATGGGAAACACACTCGGATCACCAGTTCCAGTCTGATATCTCCACTGCCCAATTAAAAAGTCCCAGTCAACTTCTTTATCCACTGGAGAATAAAAAAACAAATGCGCAGTATTTATTTGCAGACAGAAGTTGCCAGTTCCTACTGGATCTTATTATTGATTTAGGATTCAGACGAGTGCTCTGTGTTGGAACACCCAGGTACGTCAGTGAAAGTTGTTACACTTTCAAATAATACTTCTGTCTCAAGTGCAACTTACTAATATTTAAATAATTGAGGATTTTCCCATAATAAGAGGTTCACTATGCTTTAACTGGTTGGGATTATCCAAACATCTGGTGGGGTCTTGCTTTGAGCTCATAATATACGGGAGAGGACTGTGGCTGCACTGCAAGTAACACACATACACACTTTAAATTACCTGCCTTATATCTTACAGAAGTGACTATGAGTTACTTTTGCTTATGTTTGGGGATTTTTTTGTGCATGGTTATCCAGTAGGTTCCACTGACTTTTTTCATCTTTTAAGACTGAAGTATTTTTCTAACTGTGAATATTAGCCAAATAGAATAATCCAAATTCAGATTACTCCATTTTGGGTTTAGGTTTATCTGTTTGTTTTTAGGTTTAGTAAAGAACTAGTCACTCTTGTCTTGCTAGCTAATTTCTGAAGCCAATGATTATGTGTTAAATTCTTTGCTCCAATTATACTTCAGGCTTCATGAAAAGATCCAGTCAAAAGCATCACAAGAAGAAGATTTCAGAGTTAGAAGCCTTCTGCTAGATATTGATTTCAGGTAGGTTTTGACAAATATTTATCTGTCTGAAGAGTACCTACAAAGATTTGTGTTCTTACTGCTTTAAAAGATAAACCAATGGTTGTTTTTTTGCATTTCTGTTCCTGCACATATACACAAATAACATCTAGTTTATGAGAAAAGTAATTACACTTTTTTTTCCCAGTATTGGTATGTGTTGTCAGTAATCAGAACCCAAAGATGTTTTTCTTAAGGACTTGTTTTCACTCTAAATGCCCCTTAGGGCAGTCAAGAAGTTGTTTATATTTTTCTACTGTTAAAACTTATTTTACAGGTATTCGCAGTTTTACACAGAGGATGAATTCTGCCACTACAACATGTTTAATCATTATTTTTTTGGTGGAGAGGTAAGGCCAAGTATTTCTTGAGTGATTTGTAAAGAAGTACATGTTGTTGATGCAGAATTTTGTAAGAAAGTCAGGGCTAGTCTAGTAGGAAAGAACTATCATGAGATAAAAATGGTCAACAGTACTAGAAATCAAAGAATAACAGTGCCTCTTCTGTAATGCTCTCCCACTTGATTCAAAGATAAAGTTGCCAATTAAATTTATGCTAACTAATGTTACTTACACACCTTAACTGATGCTTTTATTAAAATGGCAGCCTTGTGTAAGTTGTTGCCTTATATAAGTATTCATTAGCCGTGTTCTTGTATTGCTACAAAAGAATTAATTGTTTTGTTCCTGGCCTTTACAAATCCAATGGATACCATGGGACTTACTCACTGGTACTTGATGTAGGAGGGAAGAGGAGGTTTTTTTGCTTTATTTCAGGCAAGCAAGGTCAAAAGTTTAACCTTGTCATATAATGAGGTTGAATTAGTGTAATGGTTAAAGAAAATGCTGAAT